CATATTATCAACTAGCACCAAATCCTTAGAATATTTAAGAAAATTATCTATAGTGGAAGCTAGTTATATACTTAAAAAAGTCAAACAATCTAAAATAGAATATACTAAATGCAAAATGACTAATCCTGAGAAATTCCTCTAAAATTCTAAATAAAAATAATATAGATGGTTTATGCAGGAAAATTGGATCTTAAGGGAAAATATCTGATATAATTAAGCAAGAATTAAAAAGAAGAAAAGAAAGAAAGGAAAGGGGAAAAGATAGGGAGGGAGACATTCCAGGCAAAAAGCATATACTACAGGACTGAAGTAGAAATGCAGCAGGCATAATGAAGGAACCGTGTTGGAGCAGATGGTGTATATAAACCAGTGCTCTTCAAATTATGTTTTGATGAGCCCCCACATGGGCTGGTCAGCAAGCAAGTGAGACAGCCAGCCACTGAAGTCTTCAGGCAAGGTTTGGCTGCAGGTGTATTAAAAAGACTGATCATCAGACAGTGGATACAGGACTGGGCTGGAAACTATCCAGTAAGTCAGATGAGATGGCATGAGCCCAAGTGAAAATAAGTATTGGCCACAAGATTGAAAATAAAGCAGGAAGGATAGATGCATGTACTCTGACCAAGGAAGAACCAACAAGACTAAGTTGCAGATTAGATGAATTTATCTGCCAAGGGAAGCCTGAGACAAAGACCTTTACAAAAGAATGACAGAAAGAAGCATCTCATGTTGCATTTAAATCTGGTGGCACTAGATTATTTGAGAATATGGAAGATAATACCTTGAGTGTGCCCATGTTCTCAAGAGAAACACAAACTGGATTGAAATAATGAACTTGAAAATGTAAAATAGAACTCTGATGGCTTACTTATGGGATTATACCTAACATCAACCATGAGGATGAACACAGACTTGCCCTGGGAACCGAGTTCTTGTTTAGATCTTGGGTAGTTATTTTCTTATAAAGTCTAAACTGAAACATTTTTGGGCTGGGTGTGGGAGGGGGGGACCAGGCATAAAGTTTAACTGAAAAGTCCTGAGCTCTGTGGCACAGCTAAAATTCCTATTGACAGAGAGTGGGAGTTGGTGCTTCTGTGGCATTTCCAGGGTAGTCTTGTTAGGTAAGGCAGAATTGTTAGTGATGGGCTTCTAGTTGCTAAGGATAAAATCTGCAACCGAGGACTTAGTATTCCTCCTCTGACCTGGTGACACAAGCCATAAACCAAATGATAAGGAAGTCACCAGAAAATTACCCTCACCTTCCTCAAGTAAATCCTATAAATGAACTAAAAATAGAGATTTAAGTATTTATTCAGTGTAAGAAAGACTTTATCATATGAATAAATACAAATATTTATTCAATATGAAGGGTCACAAATATACTATATATGTTATATACTGATGTGTGTCCTCCTGAAATTCATGTGTTGGTATCATAACCCCTGTTCCTCATTCATGTGTGGAAGTTTTAACTCCCTGTACCTCAGAAAGTGTCTGATTTGGGTCTTCAAAGAGGTGGTTAAGTTAAAATGGCATATTTGAAATAGGTCTTAATCCAATATGATTGTGTCCTTATAAGAAGAAATTAAAACACACAGATTTAAGAGGCAACTGTGTGAGGACAGAGCTAGAAGACTGCGAGCCAAAGAAAGAGTCCTTAGAAGACACAAAACCTACCAGCACCTTGATCTTGGGCTTCTAGCCTACAGAACTGTGAAAAAACAAATTTCCATTGTTTAAGTCCCCTGGAGTGTAATATTTTGTAATGGTAGCCCTAGCATTTTGGTAAATTCATAACCAAAATGGAAAGATAATAACATCTACAAAATTAACATGTAAATAAACAAAAGAAGGACCTAGAATCAACAACCCTCCAGTAGCAGTGAGCATACCTAGCATCCAGATATTGGTTTCAAATACCATCCTTAATAAAAAGTACTGGGGCTCTTTGGGGACATGACTGATTGTAGGAATAGGACAAGAAATATACAAAATGAACCTAGAGCATCATGTTGTGCCAGAAAATAATGAAGTATTCAAGAAAATCTCACAAGAATAGACAATGTCAAATGAACATAGGAGCTAACTGAAAGCTTTCCCAATAGCCAATGCTTTGAGCAACAAAATGAAGTGGTACTTGGCTAGGGATGTGGCTCACTGGTAGATTGTTTGCCTCACGTGCAGGAAGCCCTGGGTTCAATCCCCAGCACCACAATGAATAAATAAATAAAGTGGTATTGGATTATAATTCAGCATGTAAGATAAATATTAATGAGTTCATACTGATAAATAAACATTGAATAAACAAATAACTGAGAGAGTATAGACAAGTGTCTAGTACAGAAAAATTCCAAATAACTTATGTAGACACTCTGCCATCAGTGAGGTAGAGTATAATTCCCACTCACACATGGGTTGTACATGGTGACTTCTTTCAAAAGGGTACAGTATGGAAAGTAGGAGAAAAAGAGTAACTCTACAGTGGCAAAATCTGACAAAACACTGCCTCAGCAAAGTGGTCCGGGTTAACAGTAACAGTCATGAGTTATGTTATAACTGTACCCTTGACATAAAGCGATAGCAATGACACTTGATTTTTGTGGCCTTCCCAGAAACTCATACCTCCATCTGATCATGAGACGAACAAAAACCAAATTCAAATAGAGAAGAATTCTATATATACTTAATCAGTATTCCTCAAAACTTTCAAAGTGATCAGAAATAAGGAAATTTTGTGAAAATTACATCTAAGGGAACGCTAAGGCATCTAAATGTAAGGTGTTATACTTCCTACTATACAATTCAGAAAAAGGCTACTCTGTAAAAACTAAGGAAATCTAATGTAAGTGTGGATTGTAGTTCCTGTGTCACTATGACAAATATACCATACCAATGTATGATGTTAGTAGTAAGGGAAACTGAGTATGGGGTATACGGGAATTATCTGTACTATCTTCCCAACTTTTCTGTATAACTTGTTCTAAAACAGAATAAACCAAAAATAGACAAAAATATATCACTCTGCAACAACAGTCTTGTATACACTTGAAAGAAATTCAAACTTAACAGTATCCAGAAATGCTTATTAAAACAGTTCTAAGGGCCAGGTGATGGTGGCACATGCCTATAATCCCACCTACTTAGGAGGCTAAGGTAGGAGGATCACAAGAGTAAGGCCAGTCTAGGTCTTAATCTCAAAGAAAAAGGGCTGGGAATGTAGCTCAGTGATAGAGCACTTGCCTACTATGAGTTAAGGCCCTGGGTTCAATCCTCAGTACAGGGGGAGAGGGTACAGTTTTAATTTGTTTTTCTTATTTAGCTGGCAAATCTTTGGTTGTTTTTGTTTCATTTTGTTTTTTCTTTTTAAAAAATATTTATTTGTTTGTTTGCTTATTTATTTATTTATTTTTGGTGCTTGGGATTGAACCCAGGGCCTTGTGCATGTAAGGCAAGCACTCTACCAGCTAAGCTATATCCCCAGTCCCTTCTTTTTTTAAAATAAAACGTTTGATTTATAACATAGGAATGTAAAACAGAACAGCTTCCCTGCGAGATATTTCAGTAGTAGGTAAAATATATGTATACTTTTTAAAGCAGTAATATCACAACCAGGAATGAAATGTCAATGATCAGAAAAATGCTTTTCACAGTATTATGTTCAATAGCAAAATCTTGGGGATTAACCAGAATCCTATAAACTCAGGATTGTGAGAATCTCAAAGTAGAAGGCAATGCAGATATTAAGAATAATACTGATGAGCTGGGCACCCGTGGCGCATACCTCTAATCTTAGTGGCTGGAGAGGATGAGGCAGGAGGATCGCAAATTCAAAGCCAGCCTCAGCAAAAGCGAGGTGCTAAGCAATTGAGTGAGACCCCATCTATAAATAAAATACAAAATAGGGCTGGGGATGTGGCTCAGTGTTCAAGTGCCCCTGAGTTTAATCCCCAGTTACCCCCCCCCCCCCCGCCCCAAAAAAGAATAATACTGGAGGACAAAAAATGCTATATTACAGGAAAATGCCAGTTGTAAGCTATGTCATAACATTTTTCTATCCATCTATCCATTTGTGTATATCTCTTAGACCAGGGAATTAATGATCTGAATAAGTGACACTAAATTCAGTCCTATTAGTTATTTGAAGTGTTTTATAAATACTTATAGAGGTATTTTAATGTATATGGTAATTAATATATCAAGTGTTGTTTCACAGCTCTTTCATAATTAGAAGCCAGTATCATGATCAAGTTTTCATCTCCACAAACTGTGTGTGTGTGTATGTGTGTTTATGTTTTAGGTTTACTATATACAGATAGAGTGGGATTTGCATATGATAAAATATAGTATGTGGTTATTTATGACTGGTAGGATTGAACAATTTTTAATTTACTTTCATGGATTTTCTACATTTTCCAAATGTAATTCAAAGGACCATAGAATATGTTTTTGTGTTGCAAAACAAGATTTAAAAGTCAGTTTTTTAAAAAAAATAAATCTTTCATTCCACAAAACTGGTATCCAAAATATTGAAATATCTTTTTGTTTAAAAAAACATATTTTGACTTTGCTTTTCTAAGTGGATTTAGTTTATACACATAGTTGCCTTCATGCAAATTTACAGTTATAAGTTTACTAAAATACTTTTTTTCTATTAGGTTAATTTTCTTGATTAGCTTTTTGTTAAAAGCGTTGTTGCAACCAGACAGGCTTGTTGGGACATGTCTACAGTTCCTGCCATTCAGGAAGTTGAAACAGGAGGTTGTCAAGTTGGAGACCAGCCTCTGAAACTTAGTGACCCTGTCTCAAAATAAAAAGGGTAGGGGTTTTAGCTCAGTGGTAAAGTGCCTGGGTTTGATTCCCAGTAGTGGGGGTGGAGAAGGTGTAGCCCCTGATAGAGCACTTGCCTAGCATGGATGAGGCCCTGGATTAGACTCTCATAACTATAAAATAAAATAGAAGCATTGTTGTGTTTAATTAGTCTTCTCCTTTTTTATTTTTAGACTGGTGTTTGGAATGCTTTATCCTGCATATTATTCATACAAAACTGTGAAAACAAAAAACGTGAAGGAGTATGTAAGTATAGTTTTATGAGTGATTATTTCTCAATTTATCAATGATGCAAAGCATTGTAAAAATTACTGTTCTTTTAGAAACAGCTGGAATAATATGTTGGGTGAAACTGATGTAAATGATTAAAAACTAGCTTTGACAACAACTCCAAAGTGGATCTTAAAAAATAGTTCACTGTTAGTTGGCATCTAAAGAAATATGCTGTTCCCATGATGAGTAATTGGATAGTTCTTAATATAGTCTGTAAATTCCAGTATAATAAGGGTTTGGGGATTTTTTGTTTGTTTGTTTGACTTTTGGGGGGAGAGTTGTGGCTTTTCTATCCTTGTAAATTTATAGGTGCACTGAGAATATCTTTCTTTTCCATGCAAAATTCTTTTTCCTCTTTCATAGGCCTTTTAACACTTTCTAATTGATTTAAGTATGCAGATATTCTATCACTACTAACAACTGCAATCTTTTTTCTTCTTGAATTGTGCTGTATTTATAATGATTTTGTTTTTAATCCTCAATATTTTTTATTTCAGTTTACTCTTTCCTATTCCTGATTTTTGTTGTTGTTTATTCATTTTCTTTAAGTTCTGCTCTTTCCCAGCCTTAACCATACTGTTTAATAGAAAATGGCCTTTCTCCCATATGAATCCTTGGCATGGTTTACCATGTTTGATGGAGTGAAATTTCAGAGAAAATTTTCTTATTCTGAATGTTGCCTACAAATAGAATTGAATAATCTGTGACCTTTTGTGACTAGCTTCTTTCACTTAGCATATGTTTTCAAGGTTCATCCATGTCTTAGTGTGTATCAGTGTTTCATTCTTCTTTGTAGCTAAACAATATCCCATTGTATTGATAAATGAAAAACACATTTTGTTTATTCATCTATTGACAGACATTGGAATTGTTCTGTTTTGCCTATTATGAATAGAGCTGCTTATGTATAAGAATTTGAGTACCTGTTTTTTAACTCTTTCACATATATAGCCGTAGTTCTTTGTAAAGAATCTCAAACAGAAGTCTTGTCATCCAACCCATCAAATGATCAGAATTCAGATCATAATTATTCTATATTTTGGGTTTTAGGGAAGAAGCAATAGACCTTTATAACTAACCTATTCTACTGAACTGTTACTGACATTTTTTTCTCTTTATGTGAAACTAATTTTTGTAATGAACTATATTTTACTAATCGATTCAAATCGTGGAATAAATTTAGCAGAGGTAAAGAACTTAGTTGAACGGTGAAGTTTTTCTATCCTTATATAGATTTCTTGAATTTAGAATTAGTGAAATCACCTTAAAAGATGGAACCACATTAAGTTCTAGTCATTTAAATTCATCTTATAGGGCTGAGGTTGTAACTCAGTGGTAGAACACTTGCCCAGCACTTGTGAGGCACTGGGTTCGATCCTCAGCACCACATTAAAAATAAACAAATAAAATATTATAAACAAATAAAATATTATGTCCATGTACAACTAAAAAAAATTAATAGATAAATTTCTCTTAAAAAGTACTTGAAGAATGTATTTTAACATATAATAAATATTTCAAGAATTATTTTATAGCACAGACCTATATTAGTTTTTTAGAAGCCAGCACTTAGTTTCATTAACAATGCTTCTCAGGCTGCCTATTGGGAAAGACCAGTTTTGTTTTGCTTTTTCCAAGAAGTCATTGACCAATGTTTTTGAAAAATAAAATAAAATAACTAGTAATTAGAAAAAATGAAATAAAAAAACGTGAAATACAACCCAGATTTTTTTTATTACTCATTTCAATAGACATGAAATTACTATCAATTTTTATACTTTAGCAATATAGTAATACTTCACATCCTTGCACAGTCCCCTAGACAATACTCTGCCCTACTATGAAATAATTTAATTGGAATTCTGTTTTGAATGGTTAAAAACAAGAATTTCCCACCATTTCTAAACACCATGAAAATATGAATAGTGGAGTATACAATTGACTAATGCTTACTGAAAGTGAATCGTTTCCTATTTGGTTTACTTTTTGTTTGATTTGGTTTGGTTGGTTGGTGGGTTTGAATTTTTTATTTTGTTTATTTGTTTTTTGTTTTTCAGTACTGGGGATTGAACCTAGGCCTTGTGCATGCTAGGCAAGCACATTGCCTCTGAGCTACATCCCTACCCTACCTCTCCCTATTTGGAATATTTTTGATGCTATTATTAAATGAGATCTTTATCTGATTAGTTGTACAGTTGAAGTACAGGGTAATATGCCTCTCAACAGTGTTACCTATAAAGCATTCCAGAGACCCAAGATATGCAACAATTGGTGTGACTTTGTGTACATACTTGTATTTAAGATACTCTCTTGTGTCCTCTTCCAAATTTGCTTGATTTTTATTGGGGAAAATGTTGAAGTATAAGTTGAAAGTGACGTTTGGCTCAGAGGCTCTTATCAGCAGATAAGAAATATTACCCCCTAAAGTAAAAATAAAAGGGAAAGGGAAAGAAGGAAGCAATAAGAAATATGAAAGTATTAAATAAATTGTAATAAAAACAAGATGAGGGGCTGGGGATGTGGCTCAAGCGGTAGCACGCTCGCCTGGCATGCGTGCGGCCCGGGTTCGATCCTCAGATCCTCAGCACCACATACAAACAAAGATGTTGTGTCCGCCGAAAACTAAAAATAAATATTAAAAAATTCTCTCTCTAAAAAAAAAAACAAGTTGACCTGTGTGTGCAAATGATGCCAAAAAAAGAAGAAAAAATGTGTTTTATGGACTGACCTAAGAACCATTATAAAAAAACTAGTCCATTTATCACTATGCATCAATTTTACTTCATTAATTTTAATTTTCAAAGACTTGAGAAGATGCTTAAGAAAACACCCAGAAATTTATTTATTTACTTATTTATTTATTTGGTACTGAGGATTGAACCCAGGGGTGTTCAACCATTGATTCAATCCCTAGCCCTTTTTTATATTTTAATTAGAGACAGGGTCTTGCTGAGTTGCTAAGTACCTCACTAAGTTGCTGAGGCTGGCTTTGAACTCAAAGTCCTCCTGTCTCAGCCTCCGGCTACAGGCATGCACCACCATACCCATTCCGGATTTTTATTACTAATTCTGCTTTGTAAATTTAATTTGGCCTGTGAAGAAAATTCATGAACATTCTTAATCAAAATCAATAAAGTTTGATATATTTTGATATATATCCATGTATGTATATGTGTGTTTATTTAACATGTTGTTTTGCATTGCTGTTTTTATGTTGTTGTAATGCTTTTTATCAGATCATTGCCTTTTTTCAGCATTGGGTATTGAATTCAGGGATTTGCTCATTACTAAGCAAGTGCTGTACCACTGATCTATACTCCCAGCTGAATGTAGAATTGTTTCTAAAGAATAACTAATCATTAACAAAGTAAGATGCAATTTTGCTATAATTCTGTTACCCCCAAAAAAAGTTTTCTTAACCGTTCCTGTGGGAAAACTAGAGTAACTGGTACAATAAACTAGGGAACTAGAAAGGCAAGTGGCTAGAGCTGGTTTGATAATTACATGGTAATTAGCACTGTTTCATAAGTAAAATGAGTTGAAAACCAAAAATAGTCAGGCACTGCAACAGGAAGGGCAGGATTTCAGCCTTTGAGAAGGAAACACAATATATAATTATGTTTATTTTACTAAATATAAAACACTAAAATATAAAAAAGGGCTGGAGATTGGCTTGGTTATCTCCTGATAACCTAGTTGTCTAACATCAAGGCTGTTAAACTAAGTTGAGATGTCATCTTGTAATAATATCTTTTATATATATGATTTTCTACCAATATCAAAATAATTTTGCATATTATTATTTCCAATTACTGCTCTAACAAATACCACACTCTTAGAGGCTTAAAATGACATAAAATTATACTGATGTAGTCCGAGAGGTCAGAAATCTAGAATGGGTCCACAGGGCTACATTCCTTCTGGAGGCTCTAAGGGAAACTAACTGCTTCCTTTTCTAGCTTCCATAGAGTAGTTCTTAGTTCTTAGTTCCACATGCTTAGCTATTTACTTTCCAGCTTCCTTGGCTTAGTTCTCTGTTCCTCAGTCTTCAAAGCAGTCAACTTTGGACCTTTTAATGCTTCCAGGTCTCTTGTTCTTTCCTTCTGCCTCCCTCTTCCTCTTACAAGGACCTTTGTGACTGCACTGGGCCCATTTGAGTAATCTAGAATAATCTCCCCCTTTCAAGGTTGTCTAATTAACAGCCTGAATTGCGTCTGCCCCACCCCATACCTTCCCCCCCCCTTTACCATGTTGCCTAACATATTCATAGTTCCTAGGGATTGGAACATGGATATTTTGGAAAAATAAGGCTTCATTCTGCCTGCCCTCATAATATCCCACTCATCCTTGCTGTAGCCCTATTAAGTAGGCAAGAAAGATATTTCTGAATAATGAATGAAGGGGTAAATAAATAAGAAAAGGAAAAAAGTTGACTTTAAATGTATATCAAATATTAAATGATGTTTATAAGAGCATGCACATTTCTTAAGTGGATTGATCTACCTTCTTAGCTTTGATTCTTCTGGGTTAGGGCATATATATAATCCAGTCTGAACACTTATCCCAAAGCCTAGTTTCTCTGTGGCATTTGGTTATGACCTAAATTCTGCTGATATCTACTTCAAAACTATTTTCTAAAAGCAAACATTTTGGTTAATTTACTTCATCCCACCCTAACTACTACCATTCCCCTTACGCCTGCAAGTGGTAGATTGCACCTGATAAAACAGATGCTGTGTTCAAATCAAAACAAATGGAAAGTTGCTGTGTATTTTGGCAACTTTCCTTTCTTCCTTTGCCTATTTTTAAAACAGAGCTTTCCTAGGATATAATTTCCTGTATAGTGTGGCTGATATGGCCTACTTAAAGACTTTCAGTCTTGCAGTAATTGAAATGTAAACTTACTGAAGAATTAGTATGGTTTTGCAAATTTTTTCAGGCTCATACTGTATTATGACTTGAAAATAGAGTGT